TCGAACATCAGAGGTGTTGGTGGGTATTTATCGAGTAAGAGAGATTATAATAATTGAAATTTTGGCTGAAAATGTCGTTGAAAAGTAGGAAAGAGGTATTTAGGGGTGATGGGAATGAAGCGGTTGAGGTCCAAATTGTGGGATGTCAATCAAATCCTTTTCCTTTTCTCTGCCCTGGCGGAATCGATGGTGATGACAACAACAACAGGGTAATTTGGGCTCTAGTAAAAACACGGACGAAAAACAACCTTGGACTCGACCTTGCTACTCGTGTACATTCTCGTTTCGTATTTTTTCTATCAAGATTGCTACTCTACTCTTACGACCAAGTCGCATCTATCGCCACTTTGCCCAAAGAGGTGCTGCTCGCACGTTGACCGGCCAACAAAAGATCGATTCAGTCATCCCTGAAACACCTGCTATGCCACCAAGAGAAAAGCGAGAGGCGCCCTTCCAGCTTTCACCAGAACAGCTAGCCCTCCAGGCTGCCCGGCGCGAACTCAAGGCCCAAAAGGAGGCTGCTAAACTCGCTGGTACAGACGAGCAGCGAGCGACGGGGGGACGGCAGGGGGCTATCCTCAAGCGGGACTGGGCGCCAATAAACCACACCCTTGAACAGGCTACCGACGCATCTCGCTCTGCCGAGGAGAATGCTGTAACGATAATGACGTGGAATGTGAGTTGAAACGGCTGCTGCTGCTGCGAGCTTGGCCGCCACAAGCACAAGCCCTTGGTACTGACGGACAGTCACTTCTAGGTCTTGGCCCAATCTCTCGTCCGTATGTATATATTGGATCGCCGTTCGATGAATTGACCCGAAGTTTCATCCTAGGAAGGGAGTTGTTCCCGGGCAATGACGCGCTAAAAGTTAGTATGGTTCCAATAATAGCGACGCACAGTTATTAAGGTGCAGCGGCCTAGGCGGCAACAAGATTGCCAATGCTCCCAAATGAAATACTCGCTTACGATGCGGACATTGTCTGCCTTCAAGTGAGCTCTTCTCTTCTGTAGGTTTTTTCGAAGAAACCAATATTGGGTTAGGAAGCAGACCAATTAGACGTGCTCCTTCCTGCCCTGAAATCCCGGTATTCGTATATTTACGCGTCAGGGCGGTCGAAGAACCATGGTTGTATGGTATTATACAAGCCGGAATACTTTGAAGTTATCTCCGAACGGACAGTCTATTACGACGAGGAGGATATAAGAGTGGGAACTCCCGATGGGGTGGACTCGGCAGAGCAAGCGGCCATATGGCGAAAGGGAACCAGCAGGAGAACGGGAAATATTGCCTTGCTCGTAGGGTTGCGAGACAAGCGAGACCGTGCCAAGGGATTTGTCGTCGGCACTACACATTTATTCTGGCATGGGGCGTGCGTGAATTTCTGACGATTCATACAATTACTCATGAGCCCGTAGCTTTACAGGTGAACGAACAAAGTGAGATGTTTCGTAGTCTTTGAAGCGATCAATACTCAATATTCCCAGGCAAATGATCATCTTTTTACGCGAAATGGCCGGCTTTCGAAAGGAGCATAGGGCTGAACGCTGGCCATGTGTCATTGCAGGAGGTGAGTCTGCATAGTGATCCACAAAGTGTAATGTGGGACTCATTCTGTGATGCAGACCTGAACCTCCCTCCGGATGACATTACCTACTCTCTGCTGGTAGGCGAGACCGTCACCGAATCCCAATACGAAGCTTTCAACGAGTCTCGAGTGGTCCACGTATCCATAGACCCTTCGATCGGTTTCACTGAGGAATCCAAGCTAGAGGATGAGGAAAACGATCCGGATAGAAAGGTTTGGAACTGCCGACCTTGTACCGACGCTGACGGGTTACTACGTGCGGAGGAGCTGGAAGACATGTTCAAGCAAGTGTAACCGTGTTGTGTGTTCGTTCCAGATCGCTGACCAGATCTCTCTAGAGCCTCGGGCATTTCGCCACTGAGGAGTGTGTACGACGAGGCGACAAGGAAGTTGCCGCCGGACGGTATTGAAAGATCCGGTCAACGGTTTCCACACCTTGAAGGAAGGAAAGGAGCATTTGAGCCGATGTTCACGAGCTACACCCACTATTGGAAGTCAACACTAGGTACGCATATAGCTCCTGACGACAACAAACATAAAGTACTGAGGTCATATGAATAGATTACATCTTCATTTCGGTGTCTAGTGATATAGAAGCTGTCGTTACTAGGATCCTAAAGCCTCTCCGACAGGAAGATTTAGGAACAGGACTGCCCAAGAAGGGTGTCTGTGGATCTGATCATGTATCCTTGGCAGCGACCATTGTCTTCTCGGGCCCCGCGCGGATGATTGACTTATATAATCTCTAGAGTAGCATACCTCATCTTGCAGTCGTCCTGTACCTTATTTGCGCACACAATGGGATTCTAGACGAATTGTTGATAATTGTGAGCATAGTTGTAGAGGTACAGAAAATAGTGGCGTAAATGTTGGTGGCTGTTCAGTGTCTGTGAAAAATGGTCGAAAAGTCGGCACTGGTGGGCCTGATTTTGGGGAATATCATAGTGGTAACTGAGGTTGAGGCAGACCGTACAATTCTCTCGCCTTTTACTAGAGAATTCCGTGTTTCGCCCTCGTTTATGTTACCTTACCAATTTTTCTGTACTCAGTACGATCTGAGAATCCTTTTGTTTTGCGTTTTTTTTTTTTTTTTTTTTTTTTTTTTTTTTTTCTTTTGGCTGTGTTGGGTGTACTCGGCAAACGGACCGCTTTTACGTGTCATCGTACGAGTGGAGTCGAGTGCTTGTCGGTAATAGAGGCCATTTCGTTCATTGTGCGATTAATGTTTCAACATTTTTGAGCGTAACTAACGAGGCCGCACGCAATAACAATGGGGTTGCTATATACCAATTTTCTGTGTTTTTTATTGTCTAAATCGTGACATTGGCACATGGATTGGGAGCCCCTGAGGGCCCGAGTTGAGTGCTGGACGCCATCAAACCATCCTTCTCCGTCCTTCGTCCCCGACCACCATCTAGGAGAAAAGGCCATCCCTCCATCTTCTTCCTTTTTCTTCGCTTTGATTTCATCTCAAAAAATCAGCCTTTTTCTTCTTGTCTTGCTGCAGACCAATTCGCATTTTTCCAGAGGAGAGAGAGTCCATTCACTCAACAAGCAAGGCCTCTCAGCGCTCACGACTATCTCACGCTTTAGCTCTCACAGCGGCGCATTGATTGCGACTTGTCTGTGTTGTTCATTCCATCTTCAACACTCTACTTTCAACGACTCTTTCTAGCGCGGCTGGTCCCGTGGAATTTTTGTGCCCTTTTCCCCCCCTGAACATGATGTCCAACCCCTCCACCACCACTCTGACAACGACCGCACCAAGCCCAACTCCCCCACAAACTGGCGTCAAACGTAAAAGAGGCCCTCCTGCTCCTCTCAACTTGGCCTCGTCGTCAAGCTCTGCGTCCTTAATCGTGTTTGCAGGGCCTGATCGTGACGATGATGGTACTGCGCCGGCCGACATCCCACCGGCGATGCCACAGCCTGAAGAGACCACCACCTCCACCACTGCGCCAGCACCAGTTGCATCAACTGCAGCCCCATCAAAACCATCAAACCCCTCCCGCAACGTCAAACGCCTCTCGCTCAGCATCTCGGGCACCAGCATTGCGCAAAACCTGGCTCCGAGCATAGCATCCCCCATCGCACGCGACAGCAATCCCCCTCCTCTCCCCCAACCAAGGCGCCCTTCCATCGCTTCACTGCCAGGAGCTAGCGCATCCTCCATTTTACGCCGCAATGACGAGGGAGACTCGTCGGCTTCTGCATATCTGGATGGACCGATCGAGATCATGCCTGGCATATGGCTCGGCTCTGAAGACAATGCCAGAGACTGGCAGGGGCTGATCAAGCGCGGAATCAAGTCCATATTGAATGTCGCCAAGGAAGTCGCTAGTCCCTTCGAGTCAGCGTCCCAACCGACCCGCAACACACGCGCAATGTCAGTCCCCAACGCCCAAGCCCCTCGCAATATGCAGAGCAGCACCTATCAACCCGCACACCTGCCTTCGGGAAGACCACCAATGCACTACCTCAAACTTGCCTGGTCCCATGGACAGTCAGATCTCGTCCACAGTGGATTCGCACACGGTATCAAGTTTTGCGATGACGCTCTGGCACGAAAAGAAGGTGTTTTGATACAGTGCGTAAACTCGTCTTTTTTTCGGCTGAATGTGCACTGACGCTCACACTTTCTACCCCTTTACCCCTTCTTTTTTAGCTGCCAATGCGGTGTCTCTCGATCCGCGACTATGGTCATCGCATTGGTCATGAGAGCCGCTGCGGAGGGTGGACCCCATGTTCTCCCTGAGGTTATGGCATTGCGCGGACGAGGTATGCAGGCTGCATATGATTATGTACAGCAAAGAAGCAAAACGATTGGCCCAAATATGTCGTGAGTATATTCGTATTCAGTGTTCTCGGGTTATTTTTTTGACTTGTTTGTTTTTAGTTTGATTTATCAATTGCTCGATTATGAGCGTGCATTGAAAGGTCAGGATTCTCCCGGCAGATCATCGACTGGTGCCTCGGAGGATGAGGAATGGGAACGTCGGCGGCAGCAATTGGATTCCCCTGATCAGGAGAGTCAGGAGATCTTGAAAGAAGCCAAAGAGTTGGACCGTGAGATGGAAGAGCGAAGAGCCCGAAGATTGTCGCTCGCCTCTACTTCATCCAATCCCAGCAGCTTTACCGGAGCTATCGGGAACGGTGCGCCATGGAGAGTCCGATACGGATCTGGCGTATATAGTCGTAGCCGTGCTCCATCTATGGAGAGTAGCTACACATCCAGGAGTTCTGTGAGCGTCGTCTCAGAGGACCCGCTGGAGGAGGAAGACGAGACCGACGACCGCGATCCGACCAAGGTCACCACCCCCGACACCGATGCAACCGATGAAGATGCTCATTGCTATGGCATGAACAAGGAGGAGATTGATCACCCCCAGACTGCGCAAGCACCTCGTTTCAAGGCGTCCATACAACCTCCCACCGCGCCGCCAACGAGAACATCATTTGGCCTTGCTGCTATTGCTCCTCCTCCATCTGCATCCCCTTTCAAGCAATCGTTTGGATCTTCGGTAACTGCCGAGCCTCCTTCAAGGCCGCTACGAGCGAGCGCTGTACCTACATTGCCAACCATCCGCACCCAGAACATTTCAGGGTCACAGAACAAAAAGGAGAAGCGTCGACCGCCTCCACTCAAAGATGTGACCCCAACCGTACCGTTCCCATCCATTCAGCTGACTACGGATGAGCCCATCGCCACTAACCCTCCGACCCTGTCTCGCCACTCTTCCAACTCTTCTCAACGCTCTGCCATCCTTCCCTCTGCCACACCTACCGCCCCCAAGCCATCGATTGCAACAGCGACGAGTCCGCGAACGCGCCGACTCTCTCAGCGCATCTCGTCTCTCGTTCCTTTCCCCGTCAAGAATGCGCTCGCTGCTATTTCTTCAGTGGTCCCACGATCACCGGCACCAAATGGTGCAGGAAAGGCGGCCCCAACGCCATCCGCCTCGCAAACTCTCTTCATCTTCCCGCCTTCTCCCCGAACCCGAGGCACGAGCACCCCAGCGACCCTGACCCTTACTTCCACACCGCTCCCTTCTGCAGGTTTCGGCTCCATCTTGACTCCCAGAGCCGGACTGTTCAGGAGGCGAACGGATAGTCGTACGAGCTGGTTTGGCAAGTCTGCAGCCACTCCCACAACGGCCACGGCTAGAGTGGATGTCAAAGGCCAGTTTGACGCTGCATAAAGTATCCTAGGCGCTCGTGCGCTTGGATATCGGACCTTTCTGGCCTTGGCGTTGCTCGCTGTCCTACGTTTTCCTGTCACCTCCCTCTCCTTTGCACAAGGCCTGTGCAAATCTTGCTTTCGCATACTCCTTGTATCCAACCCACAACCTGGTCGTGCCGAATCCTACTCCAAAATATCGGATAACTTTTTTCTGGCGTATCGAGTTCGTCAGCCACTTTGTGTCGTTTGTCTCGGAAATGTTACGGACAGCTCTCTTGAACACCTATGGCATTGGATCCCTCTACCTTTATTCTCACAAACCTTTCAACTTTTTTTTTTTTGGTTTCACCTGTATTTTGGTTGCATTTTCACTTGGCATCAAGGGCTTCAATCTGCTATTTGAGGTCTCCCTTTACTTGCTTGTTCCCTTCTCATTCTCCATTGTTGCATTCGTATTAGCATTTTCTCATATGCATGCGTGGATTTGT